GACCCCTTGCACAAGGACCCCTGCAGCACAAGCACCCCTTGCACACACACACCCCCTCCATCGCACCCCTTTGGCACAAGCACCTCTTGCACAAGGACCCCTTGCACAAGGACCCCTTGCACACACACACACCCCCTCCATCGCACCCCTTTGGCACAAGCACCTCTTGCACAAGGACCCCTCCAGCACAAGGACCCCTTGCACACACACACCCCCTCCATCACGCCCCTTTGGCACAAGGACCCCTCCAGCACAAGCACCCCTTGCACCCACACACACACCTTCCATCACGCCCCTTTGGCACAAGGACCCCTTGCACAAGGACCCCTCCAGCACAAGCTCCCCCCTTGCACACACACCCACCACCTCCATCGCACCCCTTTGGCACAAGCACGTCTGGCACACCCCCCCCCTTGCACAAGGAGTCCTCCAGCACAAGGACCCCTTGCACACACACACCCCCTCCATCGCGCCCCTTTGGCACAAGCACCTCTTGCACAAGGACCCTTCCAGCACAAGGACCCCTCCAGTACAAGGATCCTTCCAGCACAAGCACCCCTTGCACAAGGACCCCTTGCACAAGCACCCCTTGCACAAGGACCCCTCCAGCACAAGCCCCCCCTTGCACACGCACCCACCACCTCCATCGCACCCCTTTGGCACAAGCACGTCTTGCACGCCCCCCCACCTTGCGCAAGCACCCCTTGCACAAGGAGTCCTCCAGCACCAGCACCCCTTGAACACACGCACACCCCCTCCATCGCGCCCCTTTGGCTCAAGCCCCTCTTGCACGCCCCCCCCCCCCAAACCCCTTCTTCTTCACAAGCACCTCTAGCACGGGCACACCCCCCCCCCGCACGGGTACCTCTGCCCCACAGGTCCCTCGCTGCGGCTCTGCCCGCTCCCTGCGCACGCCCGGCCCCGGCTCCAGCCCCCGCTGCCCCCCGGGTGAATCATTGACCGGGGGGGGGGCAAAGTCCACGCGGACCCACAGAGCCCCACAGGGACCCACAGAGCCCCACAGGGACCCGCGCGGCCCCGTAGGGACCCCTCATTCAGCCGCATGGAGCACGTGCAGCCCCAGAGGGACCCCGCACAGCCCATAGGGCACACATGGGGTGCATATACACCCATATAACCCCATGGGGCGCACCCAGCCCCACGGGATCCCACACAGCCCACATAGCCCCATAAGGACCCGTAGGGCACATACAGCCTCACATGACCCCCATGGGGCACACGCACCCCACAGAGCCCCACATGACCCTATAGGGCACATATACCCCATACATCCCCACATGACCCCATGGGGCACAGGCCCCCCACAGAGCCCCACATGACTCCATGGGGCACACGCAACCCACACAGCCCCACATGATGACCCCATAAGGCACATTCACCCCATACAGCTCCACATGACCCATAGGGCACATTCACCCCATCCAGCTCCATAAGGTCCCACATAACCCCACTCAGCCCTGTATGGCCCTGTGGGGCACATACAACCCTGTGCAGCCCCACACTGCCCCACTGGCCCCATAGATGAGCTGCCCAGTGGGGCCAAACTGGCGGCACTGGTCCATACTGGGCTCTGGGGGGGTCCCAAGCCCTAGAGGGGCTCCGGGCCCTACGAGCGATCCGGTCTATGGGGGGCACCAGCCCCTATGGGGGGTCCCGGGCCCTATGAGGGGATCCTACGGGGGGAAGGGGTCACGCGGGGCCGTGGGTCACGTGATCCCCGGTGTGTGTCTCTCTCTCTCCCCCCGTCAACTCACCGCTGCGCGACCGCAACCACCGCTTCCCCCCGCGTCCCGCTAGCCCCGCCCCCCAGCCTCCTATTGGTCAACCCTCGACACGCCCCCTTCGTACCGCTGCTTGCCCCGCCCCTTTACCGGAAAGGGCCTCTTCTTATTGGCCCTCCCCTCCGAGCTCGCTCTACTATTGGTTAAAAGCTCTGCCATCCCGCCGTAAGACCCCGCCCACCGCGCGGCTGCGTCACGGTCGGCCGGAGGCTCTGCTGCCGGCGCTTGATTGGCTGAAGGCCGAGCGGTGGGCGGGGCCACAGGGGAGGAGGGGGCGGAGCTTTGTGACCGCAGCAGTGCCCCCCCCCGTTGTCCCCTATAGGGGCTGAGGGACGCTCCCCCCCCCCACATGGGGGCGCCCTACGCGCGTGCTCGTCTCTATAGGCCCCGGCCCGCTTTCGGGGGTCACCGATAGCGAGCGCTCCACGGCCTGGTTTGACCGACTCTGTATAGCCCCACTCTATAGCCCTATATAGCTATAGGGCCTGGCTACCCTATAGCTCCCCCCACAGCCCTTAATCTGTAAGGGACATCATCTGACTCACAGCAGCCTCTAAGCCTCACCCATGCCGTCACCCTACCCCCCTCTAGAAGGCACCCTATGGCGCTATAGGGTAGCCTATGGGACCCCCTCATACCCTCTTTGTCCCTATAGGTCGCAGCCCCCTATAGACACCGCGCGCAGCTCAGGACTACAGCTCCCATCATGCCCCGCACGCCGGCAGCGCGGTTGCCATGGCGACGCCTTGCCGGCCGCATGCGTAGAAGCGCGGGGGCTGCGGCGGGCGGGAGGCGATGTGCGCATGCTCAGGGTGGGGGGGAGGCGCATGCGCGGTGCCGCCGGCAGTCGGTGAGGGACGGAGGCGCTGAGGCGCGGCTCCGCAGCGCCGCCATGGCCGAGCCCGGCCCGCAGTCCCCGCTCGTGTCCTCGTCGTCCGAGCCCGGCCTCCCGCAGCCCCATCGCGGCGGCTGCGGCACCGCCGGAGCCCTGTCGTGCGCCGGTAAGGGCTCAGCGCGGCTTGCGGGAGCTGTGGGCGTGAGGGAACTGCCGGGGCGGTGCGGGGGGGGGGGGGGTAGATGGGGCGGAGGAGGGGGATGAGGGGAGCTCTGAGGGGGAAGAGGCGTTGGGGAGAAAGATATTGGGGCAAGGGGCGTGTATGAGGGTAGGTGCAGTAGATGGAGGGTTATGGGGGGTAGATATGGGGAGCAGAGGCCTATATGGTGCAGCTGGAGGAGAAAGAGACCTATATAGGGGTAGACATAGGTGAAAGAGGCCTATATGGGGGAAGGTATAGGGAAAGAGGTCTAAATAGGGGTAGGTATAGGTGAAAAAGGCCTATATGGGAGCAGGTGCAGGGGAATCAGGTTTATATGGGGGCAGGTATAGGGGAAAGAGGCCTCTGGAGGGCCAGATACGGGGTAATCAGGCCTTTGGGGGGGGTAGATATAGGGGAAAAAGGTCTATATGGGGGCAGATATGAGGGGAAGAGGCTTGGGGGGGCAGATACGGGGAGGAGAGGCCTTTGGAGGGCCAGATACAGGGGAAGGAGGCCTATGAGAGAGCAGATATGAGAGAATGAGGCCTATATAGGAGTAGATGTAAGCGAAAGAGGCCTTAGAAGGGGTAGATATACCAGATAGGGGGCTGTAGGGGTGCAGATGTGGGGAGCAGAGGCCTTTGGGGGACCAATACAGGGGAAAGAGGCCGCTGTGGGGGCAGATATGAGATGAAATGGTCTTTAGGGCTGCAGATGTGGGGAGATGGAGCTTTGAGAAGGCAGATATAGGGGGAAGAGGCCTTTTGGGGGTAGACATAGGGGGCAAGAGGTCTTTTCAGGGTAGCCATAGGGGGCAGAGGCCCATATGTGTCAGCCATGGGGGGCATTGGCATATCCCCCCCTCATCGCTCAGGATCGGGGTGAAGTGGGGCCGTTGCTGCAGGTTTTGGGGTGTCTTGGGCTGCTCCGTCCGTCTGCCCCGTGGGGGGGAGGGGAGTCCCTTTGCCCCCCCCCTTGAGCCCCCTCCCGGGGTCCCCAATTGCCGCCGTTGCGCCCCAGTTCCTGTCATTTCCCCCCCCCCCTTTTTCCCCTCTGGATACCCCAAAGTTTGGGGTTTCACCCCAGATATCGCCTGGGGGGGATTCAGCGCCGAAAGCAGGGGGGGAAGTGGGGGTTTGGGATGCCCTGATGCTGTTTATGCTCCGGATCCCTGCTGCAAAAAGGGGGAACCCTCCCCCAGGTTTGGTCAGAGATGGGGCTCCATTGATGGAAGAGACACGATGGCATCTCAAAAAGGGGGAAAACCTGGATTTCCCCCCCCTCTCCGAACCCCCCCAGGAGCCTCCCATTGCATGGGGAGAAGCATGAAACCACCGGCACCGCCTTAATGTGGGATAAACCGATGGAAAAGGGAACTGAGATTCCAAGCAGGGGGTTTAGGGGTTCTCAAGCCCCCCCCCCCTTCCACTTAATCTGCCCATTTTGGGAGTGAAGAGGCAACGCTGGACCCATTTTGGGGGGGCTTTCACCCCAAAACCCCATAGGTACCTTATAGAGACAGTGGAGACATGGAGGTGGAGCTGCGCCGCAATGAAGCCTTAGGTGGGGGAGGAGGTTGGGAGGGTTCTGGGGGGTCAGGTTTGGGGGGACCCCCACAGGGCTCTCACCTCTGTGTTCTCTTGCAGATCCCCCCTCTGCTTCCTCCTCCTCCTCTCAGCCCGTTTCTCTCTTTGCAACCGCACCAGGCAAGTGCCCCCCTCCGGACCCCTCCTGCCCCCCACGATGGGAAATGTCGGGGGGGGGGGGGGGGCAAAGCCTGAACCTTAAAACCAACCCCCCCCCCGTGACTGGGGGGGGTCAGTGCTGGTTTGGGGTCCCCAAAGCTGGTTTGGGGGCCCCAGTGACACAGCTTGGGGGTGGGGGGGGGGCTAAAATCTGCCCCTGTTTGAGGGGGCTTTGCTTGGGGCTCATTTTGGGGGGGCAAGGAAGGGTCCTGAGACCCCCCCCAAAATGTTTCTGGTGGGGGAAGCCCCCCCTCCCCCCCAAAAAGGGACATTTCTCTTCTTTGCTTGCTGCTTAACACTGTGTCTTCTGCTTCTTGGGGGTGCTGCCCCACAACTTCCCTCCCCTGCTGCCCCGCAGCTTCCCCCCCTCTTACGCCCTGGCTGCTGCTGGTGCTTTGCAACCCCACCCCCCACCCCCACCCCAGGGTCCCCCCAGGAGGATTTGACCGTTTCTCCATGGTTTGGCCTCAAACCCCATTGGAGGCACTTGCGCCGCGACCCCTGCCCACCCTGTGCATGGGACTGGGGGGACATGGGAATGGACATCCCAAAACCCGCCTTGGATCAACCCAAAACCCGCTTTGGAGACTCCAAAACCAGCCCTGGATCAACCCAAAACCTACCCTGGAGACCCCAATCCCTCCTCCCCACCTTGGAGGACCCCAAAACCAACCATGGATCAACCTAAAACCCTCCTTCAAACCCTGGAGCACCCCAGAACCAACCTCCCAACCTTGAAGCATCCCCAAACCCATCTTGGACACCCCAAAGCCACCTCCCAACCTTGGAGGACCCCAAAACCATCTTTAGAGCACCCCAAAGCCCACCTTGGAGTGCACCAAATCCCTTCTCCTAACCTTGGAACCCAAAACCAACCTTGGATCAACCCAAACCCCTCCTTCCAACCTTGGAGCACCCTAAAACCCACCTTGGAGACCCCAAAACCCATCTTGGAGGACCTGAAAACCTGCCTTGGAACACCCCAAACCTTCCTCCCCACCTTGGAGGACCCCAGAACCAGCCTTGGATCAATCAAAACCCTCCTTCCAACCCTGGAGGACCCCAAAACCAACCTTGGAGGACCCAAAATTCCTCCTCCCCATCTTGGAGGAGCCCAAGCCCTACCTTGGAGACCCCAAAACCCACCTTGGATCCACCCAAACCCCACCTTCGAGACCCCAAATCCTTCTCCCTGCCTTTGAGCACCCCAAAACCCACCCTGGAGCACCCCAGAGCCTGCCTTGGATCAACCCAAAACCTTCCCTTCAAACCCTGGAGGACCCAAAACCCCTCCTGCCCATCTTGGAGACCCCAAAACCAACCTTGGAGGACCCCAAAACCTGCCTTGGAGACCCTAAAACCAACCCTGGAGCACCCAAGCCCTCCCATCCTGCCCCAATAGCAGTGGTTGGAGGTGGCTGCGCCCATACTGGGGTGTCCCCCCCATCTCTGCAGCCCCAATTTGGGTGTTTTTAGCCCCAAATCGAGCCTCCCCCGTCCTCAAGGCCGGTTTTGGGGTGGGAAGGGCCCCCTCTTTGTGCCGCCGCAGGACCCGCTGCCCCCCCCCCGCATGGCTGCACCGATGGACGGGGGGGACCCCCCCATGGGGTGCATGCGGGACCCCCATTCCCGGAATTCCCACCCTCCGTCTGACGTTTCCCCCCCTCTCTCCGGCCCCAGCGGCTGCGGGGGGGCGAGGAGGAGCCTTTGTCCCAACCTGCCCCCCCTCATCCAACGGGATTCCCGCTCCGAAGGAACTGGATTCCCCGGAATCGCCCTTTGAGGTGGTGCCGGATCGCGCCGCCTTCGACCGGGAATACGGCCCCGGGAGCATCCCGATGGCGGAACGGGAAGTGCTGAGCCAGATCCCGGAGGATCGAGTCTGCGACTTCCCGGTGAAAGCCCGCACAGGGAACGGCATTCCCGGCCTTCCAGCCAAGCTTCCCACTGGATTATCCCGACAAGCATCCGGCACGGCCGCGGCCTTGGAGGAGGTGTCCAAGTGCGTGCGGGAGATGCACAGCTTCACCAGCGAGCTGCTCAGCTGGGATTTAGTGGAGAGGAATGGGGGGAATGGGAATAGCGCCGGGAATCCCGGCCCCGCCGAAGCCGACAGCTCGGGCGACTCGGACGACACCGTCATCGAGGAGGCGCCGATGGAGGAAGCGCCGATCCCGATCCCACCCGGAGCCAACCCCATTCCCAACCCCGTTCCCGCGGCCCGGGACTGGGAGGAGGAGCGCCTCACCCTGCGGGCGCTGCAGGAGCTGGGGGAGCCCCCTCGGGAGCCCCCCGATCCCAGTGGGAATGTGGCTGAGCCCCGCCCCGGCGCGGGGCGGCCGCTGCTCCTCCAGCCCAGCCTGGCAGGTAAAGCACAGCCTCCGGCCCCCAAACCAGCCCTTTTAGACCCAAAACAGCGCCGAGTCACCCCCAAAGCAGCGCGGGGGGAAGGGGGGCTCCAGCCCCATAGTGCTGCCTGTTAAGGGGGGTGGGAGGGCGCCTGTGTCTGCCTCGCGTTTCGGGTTGAAAAAGGGGGATTTTGGGGTCCAACCCGCCGCTAGATTGGGGGGCATTAATTAGTGCCTGTGATTGGGGGGGGGGTATTTAATACCTATAATGGGGGGGGTTAATTAATGCCTGTAATGGGGGGGTGTTCATTAATGCCTGGGGGGGGTATTAATGCCTGTAATGGGGGGGGTGTTAATTAATGCCTGTAATGGGGTGGGTGTTGTTAATGCCTGTAATGGGGGGGTCATTAATGCCTGTAATAGTGAGGGTTACTTAAGGCCTGTAATGGGGGGGTTAATCAATGCCTGTCGGGGGGGGGGAGGGGCGCAGTTAATTAGTGCCTGTGTTAATGAGGTACAAAGGGGGGGGGGGTGTCGCTGTGGGTCGCTGTTTCCCGCTCCATGTCCGTGTCCCCCCCTTCCCCGCAGCGCGGGAGCTGTTGCTGTGGCGGGACCCGCGCCGCTCCGCGCTCGTGCTCGGCGCCAGCCTCGCGCCGCTGCTCTCCCTCGCCGCGCTCAGCGCCGTCAGCGTGTGCGCGCACGTGGCCCTCGCGCTCCTCTGCGTCACCGTGAGCGCGCGCGCGGCGCGCGGGCTGCTGCAGGCCCTGCACCGAGCCGAGGAGGGGCACCCCTTCCGGTGAGAGGCACTTCCGGTTGGTTTGGGGGGGGGGGGGGGGATGGGAGGAGTCAGCGATGGGGACCCCCCCATTTACCCTCGAGGCACCCATAAGGTGCTGGGGCGCCCCTCTGGGGTGGGTGAAGGGTTTGGGGGGTACGAAGGGGGGAGCTGGGGGTTCATTGGGGTGCGAAGGGGGGGGCATCTCAGAGCTGGTCCCCAAGGCCTTCCACTTTTGGGGTGCAGTGGGGGGGTTGGGGTGCAAAGAGGGCTCTTAGGGAGTGGAGGGGGTGTTAGGGTGTAGGAGGATTCATGGGGGGTTAGAGGGTGATTTTTGGGGTGCAAAGGGGTTTAGGGTGTGGAGGGAGGGGGGTGCAAAGGGGGATTCAGGGGGGGTTAAAGGGTGATTTTGGGGTGCAAAGGGGGGTTAGGGTGTGGAGGGGGGTTTTGGGGTGCAAAGGGGCATTTAAGGGGGGTTAAAGGGTGATTTTGGGGTGCAAAGGGGAGCCTTAAGGGTGTGGAGGGGGGTTCTGGGGTGCAAAGGGGCATTCAAGGGGGGTTAAAGGGTGATTTTGGGGTGCAAAGGGGGGTTTAGGGTGTGGAGGGGGGTTCTGGGGTGCAAAGGGGCATTCAAAGGGGGTTAAAGGGTGATTTAGGGGTGCAAAGGCAGGGTTAGGGTGTGGAGGGGGGTTCTGGGGTGCAAAGGGGCATTCAAGGGGGGTTAAAGGGTGATTTAGGGGTGCAAAGGCGGGGTTAGGGTGTGGAGGGGGGTTCTGGGGTGCAAAGGGGCATTCAAGGGGGGTTAAAGGGTGATTTTGGGGGTACAGGGGGATTGTGGGTGCAGGGGGTGCATTTGGGGTCCCCCCTCCCCTAACTTTCCCCCCCCTTTGCAGCACGTACCTGGAGAAGGACATCACCGTGTCCCAGGAGACGTTCCGCGCCGTGGTGGCCGCCGCCACCCCCCCACTGAACCGGGCCCTGCGCCTGCTGCTGCGCCTCTTCCTGGTGGAGGACCTGGTGGATTCCCTCAAGGTAATAGCCCCCTCTGGGACCCCCAGATCCCTTCTTTACCCCCCGGGTCCCCCCCACCCTCCTTTACCCCCCAGGACCCCCCAAATCCCCCCTTTGCCCCCCCCCCCCCCCCCCAGGAACCCCAAGTCCTTCTTTTACCCCCAGGGACCACCCTACACTCCTTTACCCCCCAAATCCCTCCTTTACTCCCCTGGGATTCCCAAATCTCTCCTTTACCACCCCGGGACCCCCCAGATCCCTCATTTACACCCGCTGGAACCCCACAATCCCTCCTTCCCCCCCCAGCTGGCTGTGTGCATGTGGCTGCTGACCTACGTTGGAGCTGTCTTCAATGGCATCACCCTCCTCATCCTCGGTAAGAACTGGGCTCTGCCCCCACTTCCCCCTCGAAAAGACTCCCCCAAGTGTGTAATGGACGGGGGCAATAATAAGGTTATGGGGGGTTCCTTCCCTCTTGGTGATACTGAACCCCCTTTTCCTCTCACAGCTGATATCTTGGCCTTCAGCCTCCCACCCCTCTATGAGAAGTACAAGGTGAGCCCCAAAGTGACCAAGGAGCCCCCCAAAATACACCTGGAATGTCTTCAAAAGAAAGGGGATGCCCCCAAAATGAAGGGGGACCTCGATATAAGGGGGGGTACAATAGAACTGGGGGTTCCCCCCTCAAACTCTCCCCTCTTCCTCCCCAAAGGTGCAGATCGATCAATACGTGGCCATCGCCCGCAGCCGTAGCAAGGACCTCATGGCCAAGTACGTGATGATGGGGCCCCCCCAAACTGTGCCCCCCCCCTTTATCCCCCTGGCCCCCACTATCTCCCAACCTCACCTCTCTCCTTTCCCCTTTCCCATAGGATCCAGGCGAAAGTCCCGGGCTTGGCCAAGAAAAAGCCGGAATAAACCCCCCCGGGGGGGAGATATTGGGGTACCCCCAGTTGGTGCCCCCCCCCCAAGCTCATTGCCCCCCCACCCCCCAAACTCGTACAACCCCTCCATATCTCACAGTGGCGTCCGTTTGTCCCCCCACCCCAGCACCCCCAAACCTTGGACTTGGGGCCTCTCTGTGGGGCTATTTGAGGGGGGGCCACACTCCAACCCCCACCATCCCCCCCCCAACGCATCCTCCCCTTATTTTTTTAATGTTGATTAAGGTGAAATGTCTGTAACTGCTGTAAACGGGCGAGGGAGGGGGGGCAAAGCCCTTCCCCCGCCCCCAAATCGCACTGCGCCCCCCCTCCCCCCCAAACCTCCAAATCTATGGGGGGGGAGGGAATTGGGACCCTCCCCCAGAGCCGCCTGTGGGGACGTGGCATCAATAAAGCACCACGATGGGTGGTTGTGCCCCCCTCTTGTCACTGTGTGGGCCCAAATGTACCCCCCCACCCACAGGTCAGTCCGTGTGGGGACGAGTTTATTATGGGATGCATGTACAAAAGGAACACATACACATAAATAGGGTGATGCTGGGGGAGGGGAGGGGCAGTGACACTGGGGGGGACACGACACACACCCCCATAGGTGCCACTTTGTGGGGGGGTCTCAGTGCCACCTCCCCCCCAGTGTCCCTGCCCCAGGCTCTCAGGTGCTGCAGGCAGGGGTGGCCCCTGGGTGCAGGGACAAGAGGGGGGGCCCCCGGTGGCCACAGCCCCCCCTTGCACCTCCTTCCTCTTCCTCAGCAGCGGCTCCTTCCTCCTGCTCAGGGCTGGGGGGCTGCAGTGCTGCGGGGACAGCGCCTGTGGCCCCCCCACAGCCCATTTACCACCGGTGACCCCATTGCTTCTCATGTCCCCATAGCTCCCAAGTGTCCCCATTGTCCCCATATCCCCACAGCTCCCACTGCCCTCATGTCCCCAACAACCCCAGTGTCCCCATAGTCACCTGTATTCCCATTGCCCTTGATGTCCCCATGTTATCCCCATTGCCCCTAGTGTCCCCCCTTGTCCCCATTTATCCCTGGTGTCCCCAGTTACCCCTGGTGCCCCCATATCCCCACAGCCCCCACTTCCCTCATGTCCCCAACACCCACAGTGTCCCCATAGTCACCTGTATTCCCCATTGCCCCTGATGTCCCCATTTATCCCCAGTGTCCCCATCAGCCCCAAGGTCTCCAGTGTCCCCGTTGCCCCCCCCCGTGCTCTGACCCGCTGGCACTCGGCGCTGCCGCAGGGCTCCGGGGTGCGCGGCCAGGACGTGGCGCCGGATGTCCCCGAGGTGCAGTGAGGGCAGGGCCCGGGCGCACAGGAGGCAACGCAGGCGCCTGCCCCCCGCCTCCAGGTCCAGGAGCAGCTCGGCCCGGAGCCACCCCCGGAGCGAGTCCCCGGTGCCCGCGGAGGGGACCCGGGCACCGCCGGAGGGGGCTTTGGAAGCGCTGGGGCGGGAGCGGGGGGCTGCGGGGATAGGGGCTGGTGCTGGGGACACAATGGGGACATCGTGGGGACACGTGGACGGCTTTGGGGACACCTTCGGGACGTGGTGGTTTGGGCGGGGGGCACCGGGCTGGGACGCTTTGGGGGCTCCGTTGGCACGGAGTGGGGGGGTTTAGGACCCAGCGCATCCCTTGGAGCGGGTTCAGGCGGGCCGGGGGCGGAGCTAAGACGGGGTGGGCGTGGCCGGTTCGTCCCGGGGTGGGGCTTGTCTTAAAGACGTACTAAAAGGGGGCGTGGTTCTGGGTAAAAGGAAGTGGGGGCGTGGCCAAGCGGTAAGTAGGTCTGTGCTAAAGGGGCGTGGCTCAGATGGAAGGGGGTGTGACCTCACCTATAGGGAGGCGTGGCCTCTACTAAAAAGGGCATGCAGCAGCTTTAGGGGGCGTGGCCACATTTAAAGGGAACGTGGCTCCACTTTAGGGTTCCCCCCATTTAAAAGGGGTGTGGTTCCACTTTGGGGTCCCTCCATTTAAAGGGGGTGTGACTCCACTTTAGGGTTCCCCCCTATTTAAAGGGGCCACGGCTCCACTGTAGGGTCCCCACATTTAAAGGGGCCGTGCCTCCACTTTGGGGTTCTCCCCATTTAAAGGAGCCATGACCACACTTAGGGGTCCACACTTTTAAAGGAGATGTGGCCACATTTATAGGGCCCCAGCTCCAGGGTCCCCCATCAGCGCTCCCCACATCTTAGGCTCCTGCCACAGCCCCCCATTACCTGTCCCAGCGCCTCGGGGGGGTCCCTCAGGATGGGGGTGAACCCCCAAATGTGCCTCCCAGGAGCGGAGCACAAGCTGCTTCTCGCGGGGTCCCCAGGCTCCGGAATAGGGATGCTTCTGCCGGATGTGGCGTTTGATGGTGCTGAGCTTGAGGGTGGCGAGGGCGCTGCCGCACACGAGGCAGAGCATCCCGTGCCGCGCCGCATTGAACTCCATCAGGTACTCGGCGCGCCACCGCTCGTGGTAGTACCGGCGGTGATCCCGGCCCGGGATCCGGCTCCGGCCCGGGCGCGAGGCTCGGGCGTCGCAGTGATCCGAGCTCCGGCGGCCTCCCCGCGGGCCCGGTGCTGGCGGGGAGGCTGCACAGGGCAGGAGGGAGAGGGATTTGGGGGTGTCTGTGGGGATGGAAGGGATGTGGGGCCTCAATGGATGGGGTGGGGAGGAGATTTGGGGGTGCTGCATGGACTCGTGGATGTCATGGATGGGGGTCCCCAGGGAGGAGGAAACGTCTGAGAGTCCCTGGGGGTCTTTTGGGGGGATGCTGATGGGGGAGGCTTTGGGGTCTTCCAGGACAGCAAAGCCTTGGGGGTGTTGGGGGGAGATTTGGGGGGTCTCTGGGGCTGGAAGGGTCTTGGGGGGTCTTGAAGGAGAAAGAGGGGCTCTTAAAGGGGCAGCGCACGTGAAGGGGCGGGGCTTGTCAAGGGGGATTTAAAAGGGGTGGGGCTTGTCAAGGGCGGGGCCCTTAAAGGGGCAGGGCGGCGGGGATGTGGATGGTTAAAGGCGAGGATGCCTTAAAGGGACAGCAGTACCTCAAAGGGACAGGAGCATCTTAAAGGGACACGGGTATCCCAAATTGGATGGGGGCATCTTAAAGGGAGAGGAGCATCTTAAAATGACAGAAGCATCTTAAAGGGGCAGGAGCATCTTAAAGAGACTGGGGCATCTCAAATTGGATGGGGGAATTTAAAGTAGCACCTTAAAGTGAAAGGGGTATTCTAAAGACATCTTAAAGAGGCAGGGCATCCTAGATGATGACAAGGGCTGTCAAAGGGATGAAGACACCCCCGGGGCCGGGGCATGTCTTAAAGGGCCAGCATCGCTCCCATTGTGCATTAAGGGGTCTCCTTAAGGGGTCCGCACCCCCCTCTCCCCCCCACCCCATCTCACCTGGGGGGTCCGGGCGCGGGCCCGGGCCGGGGCCGGGGTGGGGGCTCGGGGGGTCCATGG